AGCAACAAAATAAAATGACTTTAAGGACTGAATGTTTTTTGCGAACTTTGTGTACGGTGCCCGGTTTTAGTTATAAACCGACGTTAGCTTCACGTTTATGTCTACCATGGCAACAGCCGAAAACATATTGCTGGTTTTTTTTTAGTGGAGTGGATCGCCAACCGGCTTGTTTTCATTGGCGAAATCGTTCAGCAACATGTTTGGCATATTAGTTGTACATCACATGGACTACTACGATTGAGAGAACTATATGTATGTTGAATGAGTTTTATAAACCCGAAGGGCTCTTGGAAGATCCACCCACAGTAAAATTAGCGATTGCCATGGAGGCGCAACCATCAACATCAAAATCCCAGGAGGTTTCTGCTGGCGACGTTACCCAGTTCCAAATAAAGATCACCAACGCCAAATAAGCAACATTTTAACCGGTAATCAAGATTAATTCAATCCACGGCTAACAAGCAACATCACAAGTGAAGTTGTAGCGTGAAGCTCAGCGACTACTGCTGACAACGTAAGTCATGCTTGCGTGCCTTCACCATTGTATTCAAACGAATCACGTGGTGTGCCGTTCTCTTTCAAACCCGGGATTCGATCAATAGGGGAGTTTCAGTAAAAAAACACATTGCAAATCATGCAAATTCAACATTTTCAAACCAGTATACTAAAACAGAAATGCTCAGCGATGTAAAGGAAGGATAGATGTTACTTTTCATTATACACATCTCTGTTGATACAATCCCTCACATATTCTATTCCCAGTTATACCTGCGTAAATGGATTAGCCTCTTTTGATGTTGACATTCAGACTAAAATCACGTGACAGGCTGTTAAAATTGGCTGTTGCATACACTTTCGCTCTCATTCAAGTATCAATGCAGATTTCCCAGTGGGAGTGAAACTATTCGACTCTACCATTAAAAAATAGGGGTGTTTTGAGCAAAAAAAACGGATAACCCTGGAGTGCACACAACACACTGAATTTCGGAACAAATCTTGCATTATTTACAGCAGCAGAATACCACAGAAATATCAGACGAAACATGGAAACACTATATATATGTATTTCGGTCTGAACCCTCTCTATTGCAATTCCAGGAATTACCCTCCATATGTGCAACCATTTTCCACCTTGGCACCACCCAAGCCTGAAAACAAAATCTTAATACCACGCTGAAGCGTTTGGTAATAATGCCATTTATAGGGGAGATAATGAAAATACACTATGTGTACTGTGGTAGACTCACACGATATAAAGAAATTACAACTACTGTAACAAAAGAAACACGTACGTAGCCATGACACATTGCGAATATATGTTATAAAGCCAGTGAGTATGGGTAACTCAGCGTTAACAAGATGAACCAAGTCATTATGTCAATCATATTTGTTGCAAGTGTACAATCAAGTAATTAACTTACTTTTAATATTATCATCATTAGTTATATACCAGTCACTAATTAAGGTTATTATTATCATTCGTTATAAACCACACAGTGGCCTTACTAACTATTCATGTACACATACAATTAAAGGTTTGTTACTAGTACTAACAACCAACAGTAACTGGCTATAATTATATTTGTGTGTACATTGAACCAATGTAAAATTATTTTAAGAGTTACTTTTCTAAAATATGTCATTCAAAGACATACCAATGTTAACTTTACTTTCAGGATATAAGTGAGTATATTTCTAGTAATTGGTAATAATAATAATGTAATAAATTTCCTGGTTATATTGTTGTCATAAAACATTCTGATATAAATTCAATACATTAATATAAAATGTTGAAGTTGCATTCCCACTTTATAAATACATGAAATATCACTAAAAAGGTGCAACGTACTAGAAACACTAGAAATTACTCTCGTTTAAGGTTATTCCAATACTGTTTATGCTTACAGATTTATTTCAACTACAAAAGCAGGAAGCATGTACCAAGTTTTAGTCCATTTAAGTCAACAAAACATGTTGCAAAATCTGGCCGGTAATGTGAGGGCGCTTACACTGATGACAAGTGTCTACTCCATTAGAAAAACATACCTTCAATGTAACAGACTTTAAGAAAAAAACAAAGTTTTCTAAATCAGTGTTTATTGGGTACATTTCTAGCTTAATTTAAGTATATGGTGTATATATTGGTCGGGGGGGGGTATATAAGTGAGACCTGGTACACATGCTGAAATATAGCTTTTCAAAAAATATATGATATTATACCCCTTTTTAAGTGCAGATACTTAAAATAGATACCCTATATACATACTAAAAATATATTGTTTTTAAGTTGAGGTAACATGAATTCATGAGATTCCTTTTTTAACACTTTATTACCCTAACACGGTAAACGCATATACGCGTCAAATAACTAAACAACACTCCTTTTACGCGTTTTTTTTTCTTCAGCTTGCGTACCATATTTGATTCAGAAAACTCCCTGGGAATGCAACTTTGACATTAAAAAAATACAATCAAACAAAAACAGAGATGCTAGAAAGTGCTCCTATGTGAAGTGAATTGAATATTTTTACTGAGCAATTAACATACAATCATTTCTGCGTCAGCAGTGATCATACTTGTCTATAGACTGATTTATAACTAATGATACATTGTGATTCGGTCAAAACAAGTTAAACATAAATCACAACAATATTCACAAATAAATACTCAGTTACATACACAGTATGCTGAGAAATAGTTGATTATTATGCAAATTTGCTAATTAATATGCACAGATTTGTACTAAAATCTATTCAGATCTGCAGTTAAGCACTAAGTGCACCCCATCCAACCGCATGTTCACGGGATATTGGTGGAACAAGATTTGACACGTCCACATATATGTGCCATATATATTTCAACAAAGTCAAAAATAACTGTTTTGTTGAAAACTTCTATATCGACCGTTCGATATTCGTGTAGCTTCATGCAGTGGCTGTAGAGACTTATTTCAACGATTGGAGAGAGCGAAATAGTTACGTACGTACGTACTAAAAACACTACATTATGCCATATGTAGGAGCGTCTTGTCTTCATCATCTGAGGCACTGTTCTTTGAAATGCCTGGGAAATAGGTAAATAATAACAACATAGTATACACAAAAGCCCAAAAACGTTCTTTGATGAAATCTAAGTATATAGATATGTCTTATTAAATATATAATTGTACATGGTGGTACTGCGAATTGAATGAACTGTGTTTGTGATTTAATATGTATCGCTAGAACTTTGTGGTATATGAAAAAAAAATAACTGACTAATTTATAGTTACCTGGAGACGAGATCAGAGACGGTGAACTTAGTGACGTCATGTCGGAGAAAACCGCCGAGTCACTGTGGACGAGTCTATTTGTTTCCTTTGGCACGCCATGTAGGTTTGGAACAGTTTCGTTGTGTGCAATGGAAACCTCTGGGCCTTGTTCATCTCTAGAGCGTCCAACCGTTTGATCTGTAGAAACGTTAATGGTGACTTTTAAAGGAGAAGTTACTCTGACATTGTGACTTTGTATCTTTCGATCCATTTTTTCCAGAAGTTCTTTTTCATTTCTTCTAAGTTGCAACTGCATTTCCTTCTCCCAACAACTCCGTGTAAATTCGTGCACTTGTTTCATCTGCTGCATTTCTTGCTTCAACGCATCTATGTTACTATTCGCATCTTGTAGCTCGCTCGTTAATCTCTCGACCTGCTTCTGCAAAATCTGTACTCGTCGACTAGAATCTGGTAAAATATCTCCTCTCGGGGATGCCACTTCATCCAGACTACTCGCCAACAGTTTCAGATCTACAATTCGCTCCTTCAATTCAAGAAGGTCGCTTTCCCCATTGTGTTTGTATGGATAATAATCTTCACCTTCATCTGTAACCTGTGTGCCCAAAACCGAATGGGATACAGAGTGTTAACTATTTAAATAAATGTATCTATGGTTACTTATTTTCCTCATGTGTATGGCGTCTTTATAAATTCTAATGATACACTCGTCTAAGTTAGATACATAAATATACCTGAGTAGGGTATGGTAGTGATGAATCGTGTGTTGACACATCCAGACTTATACTTGTTCTGCCAGGTGTAGAAAGCTGGGCGACACTATATTTGGAAGATAGATAACGATTATTAACAGTCCTAAATGCAACGTGGAAGAACAATACATTGGTTATTATAGGAACTTAGAGAATATTCTCACCTTAGAGGAATATCGCTAGTCTTTAAAATATGTGAACTGTCACGCGGACCAGGGACTAGGTCAGTTTCATTATCACATATTGCATTACAAGTTTTGGTACTCTCAATTCGTGCAATCTCAGACATGATTGGCGCATTCCAGTATCTGAAATAGAACAAATTAAATTACAATGTGTTCGACACTCATCAAATGGTTTACTTATGTGATGTTCATGGAAAGGTCATTCAGAACTCCCCATGCATCAATATTGGAAATTACTTCACACACTTGTGGCAAACAACAAGAAATTTCAGTGTGGCCTAGAGTGTTTACAACCTTAAATGTTAAACAGCTCCCAATCGCAATTGGAGATGGTGGCAGTATTTACCGCACATATCACACATGAACTGCCTTCCGCATATTAATTCCGTTCACAGTGATCATCTATTCAAAGTACACGAAACTGATGATAGACCAATGACAAACGAACAATATGAGGATTATCGTAGTCCAGGCTATATGTCAGGTGATTAAGTCAACCACAACTTGTCAGAAACAGTAGCTATTGCACTCAAAAACGTCAATTGTTCGAGCCCTTCTCCTGCTGACTACAGCCATCGATTATCGCCCGGACCTATTTCGTTTGTTCGCAACTTTTGTATCCATACACTATTATTGGAATCGGTGATGTAACTCTAGTTACTATGCACTGCCTTAGCAGTAAATAGGACAACCCTTAAATAAAGAAATTAATAACAATATAATAAAGCCTGTATAAACTCGTAACATAGCATGGTTTATACGCGACAACACGCACTACACCATTCCAACCGATGTACCCAGCAGCATGTATCAGTGCTCAGTAAATATCACAATAGATGTCACTGTGAATCTAACTAAACCAAAATTTAATTTGATATACATGCAGACATAACAAAACAATCACACTGTTAAATCATAATAAGTGCATCTCAATTTGAACACATGTGCGAGATATAATTCATACATGCGTTTATACGAGTTGATCATATCCAAATAAAAATGAATACTAATGAATACTAATTAAAATTCTTAAAATCCCAACATCGTGGTTAACCAGTATTCATGGTTAATCATTTTCAACTACTATTTTCTACATTATGTTTATATTTGTTATAAATGTTCAAGCACCGAAACGCCATTTACGTCATTTTAGTGTATAAACCGCACTCAACTATAATGTCACAATTATTCTTGATATTGTTCATTACAAGACACTGTGCATGTGCACGTAATATATTTTTTTTATAAATAACAGTTTGGATACGTTTGTAGAAAATATATCAACCCCACGCCACATCGTCTCCATTCGTACAATTAAGCTTAGCTTAGTTTCACTTCCGGTCGGTTGGGACAATGCTGAATATATAATGGGTGAAAGGTTGCTCTGTATTTCGTATAGTTTTCAGATTTCTAAACAAGTAATGGCTGTTATTTCGTAGAATTAAATGCGATTTCTATGAAACCTTTGATCACTTTTGAAGCGTCTCATACAATGGGACATACCAATGTAAGCACTGGTTCCTCTGCATTTAAATTTCTACCTAAATGTTTCACTTAATTAAACCTAATATGCTGAATTTTAAGACAACAAATATAATGTATATTGATTGGAGGCAGAACATTTATGAAATGTATCATGGTTATGCTTATTAAATAAATATGTATAATCACCCTATGAATTATAATGACCATATTAATCCAATATGTTTTAAAACATTAAAACTCTAACGTAATATTTGTTTTTGAAAATAATTAAGAGATATCTCACTTGTGGTACTGCTCACGCATTTTTCAACATTTTTTACTTTATTTTGAGTGCTGTATTGCGGTCAGGAGAAGAGACAATCAGTTCCAAATGAACAGATTGCAGAATAGGTTAAACAGGGCTGAGATAGTTCGTAATGATCAAGTCACATTAAATGGTAGTAAGTCAAGAAACAAATACATGACGTCAGGGAACTGTCTCTTATCAGGGTTCATTATTGTGATGTTAATTTCTGCTTTTAGATTAATTATATTTGAAATTGTATTTAATATATTTATGCAATATATATTGCCATTCTGTTTTCGACATTGTGAAGTACTTTGGTTTTTATGCAGACAAATACAGTATTTTAGTAAGTAGATTCATATTTATTAAAGTTATTGTTCATACACGAGTTCTCGAACACACTACATAGTTTGTAATTACATTCACAAATAAAAGGCAAAAATATATAGAGAACATAGTAAATTATCTTTTCTGTAATATTCCTGTATTGATTATTTATAGGTACACAGGGATTATTATGAATTATTCTTAACACATTTCAAAATTATCTTGTCAAAATTATCTTGTCAAAATCAGGGTTTTTTTCAGTGTATTTTCTTCCAAAATACGTAAGAATTTTACAATCTCGAAAACAAAAAGTCTTTATTGTAGTGTTATATTATATATTGATTAACTTTAATAATCGTTATGTATTGTAAAGGACTTGTATTGCGTTATAGTACATTCTGGGAGAGTGGATAGTGAAAATGGTGGTCTGGGTGAAATTTAAATGTATAATGTACGTGACTACCATCTAATCGAAATAACACGTCACAGCTACATCAAGTTTTGTAACCCCCGTTTAACTGATGTTTAATCAATATTAGTCAAACGAACATCTACAATGAGAATAATGAGAATAAAGAACAACAGGATTACATCAGTTGTTACTTAGTCCAGCTTGTCTAATTGTGTTGAAACACGAACTCCATTCGTAAATGTATTTTTTATGAAATTGCATATTTTAGTAAATGTTTGCTTTGTTAGGTTCAGCTCCCGGGAATTTGTATTGATATAGGCCATGCGAGGGAAAACCGCGTAACTTTTTCCTAGAAGTATACGTTTCCAAGAATTTGCCTGTCAGAGTAAACATAATTTAATTTCGCATCTGATTACATTTGGTTCCTGGAAAATTACGTCCTTTATTCCTAGAACTCTTAATTGAGCAAACATTTCCACGATTTTGTCTATCAGATTATATTTATTTAACGATTTCACATCTGGTTTAAAAACACAGTTGGAATATTTTCACAGAACAGGGACACATATCTACGTTCAACATACACGTTGATAATCTCAGTATAGCTACATGACACTGTGCGTATATAGGTGGCTCGTGATATTGTGGCAGAATATGGCAGGATAAGTCTCCAGAGGTAAGTCAACATTAAATTGTATAATACGTCAAGATATGTTATCGGTGCGATTTTCACGCTACGGTCACACACTCGGAAAGCTGGTAAATTTTGAGGAAGTTAGTACAAAATGAAAGAAAAAGCTTGCGTATTACACAGAAAAAATGCACAGTGTTTTCCTACTATGTCCCATCTCTGAGTTTGTAATGTACTACATGATATACAATGTTAATATGAGTCTGAATTATTAGCATTATCGTCAACACATGCAGTATAATCTACTAGTGTTACTAATCAACAAATCATTTAAACACACTTCATAGGTTATTTATTTTTCTACGAGGTGATTTAATATAATTGTATTCACTTGTATTTATTTAATGACCATTCACACCACAAAGTGTAAATTTAAACTCCTATAATGGCCTATTGATTTTTTTAGTTTGACAATTTTGACGAACCAATCTCAACTCAGCTACAGTAACTAATAGTGCACGTGTGCATTTTCACGCTAGAACTGTCACTATACGGCAGCCAGGTACGTGGTCGGGCATGTCTGGTCAGATGTTCGGTATACACTTGCAGCTTTTGTTTCGAAAGAAAACAACAGGATGTGCCCTCCTCTCTCTCTGCCAGTCACGAAATATATTTTTCACAGTGAACGCGACCCAGACGTCGCAGGCGAGTTTACGAGGATCCGTTTCCCGTTATACTGTTTCACATTGTACCTAGACATTTTATCGGCGGCGTGCTGATTTTCACAGATCTTGAAATAGTAGAAACTTTCCAACAGATGCGCGAGGCACCGAAGGGGTCTGTAAATTATATTTCATAATGGAAAAGGGTGATATTTCAGAAATGAAAACTGTCGTATTTTTGTCGTATTTCTGTTGTACGTTGATATAATGTGTGACAGTAGCAATGATTGAACTATTTTACCATGATTTTGAACTAGTGTGTGTGTGTGCCTGTGTTGTGTTCAGTTGGCCATAATTTATGCATTCACTGCGTGATTTCGTGATACTATACTATAATAGACTATACTTGAACAACAATGAACGACCCCCATCCCATAATGAGTGAAAGTTAATTTTGTGCGAAACAGTTTCGGAGTCACTGGCCACTGATTCTACATAATTTAAAACGTCACTCTTGGAATATGTTTTCACGATATCACATGGCAAAATAAAATGAAAAAGAAACTAGATTTGCTGTATCAAATATTTAATGTATATAATATCATTTACATTGCAAGTGAACGAGTGACTGGTGTGTATTATGGAGTAGCATTGTGGTTAACGACAGCCCAAGTAAACCTCACTCGAGGACACCATCTCGGCGCCCGGCTACAAGCTCGCATTATGCTACGCCAGTGGGTGTACCGACGGTTTGTTTCAGATCGCTGCTGCTGATTGGCCGTGTGTGCGTATGGGTACATTAATGAAGCCGTATTGTTATCCAATTTAATGCATGTTTTCAGAGAGTCAGGGTAGATGTTATTGACAACTGTTCTCTTAGCGTAAATGGTGGTAACAGAAAAATATTGCGCACAAAATCGAACCATTCACTTGCCTCGTTTACAACATTATTCAGTTGAAAACATCTCATGATATCCGACCATATTTACAACCCTAATTTGACTAGTTATTGGAGTGGTAATTTGCAGGCCGACAAACAAAATATCATCACGGCAAAACATAGCTCAATAGTTCTTATTCGCTTATTGTATAAGCCTTAAAAGTCATTGGTCATGGGGACTGCATGGGGTGATGGGTATGATCCGACAAACGGAAAATAGTCGGCAAAGAGCAAAGTAGATGCGTTAGGGCCTTTAGCTGCCATGGCCAGTTTAGAATTCATTGTGTCCTTTGTCATATATTGCATATTGTCCCACCGAGCATCAGCAAAAATGCTACAAAGTATCATTAAAGATATATTTAAAGCTTATGAATTGGCAAGTAGATTAGATAATATTTTCTCTCACTTGCAGGATAAGGTAGATATCACCACCTATCTTCACCAGATCCACACCAAAAGTATATTATATATTATCAAGCGCAAAACTAACTTGGGGTGTCTGCATTGCCGACAAAATTGGTGTCACACTACAAGACCACGTGTGGCAAGGCTTCGGACACAACGCTCAAATACAGCGGCAAGTTCACATGAAGAATATTACAGGCTGCATTTAGCTCTTTTCTTGTCTTGACCACCTATGCAGTTAAGTGAATTGAATGAACAGTTAAAACAGCTAGAACACAATAAAATTTGATCTTATATTTTTGATTTAGCAGACAAGAATATGTCCAATCACTGCGTCTGTTTAAATCTGATACTACTTTCCTAGTTTGGTTCATTTGTTTTGCATTTTACAAGGTAATGATGGCATGTGCACTATTTCTTTCCAGGTTTAGCAGCCAAAACTAGGCAATTTATCGGATTAGTGCAGTCTGTGTTATTGGATAATAGTATACAGCTACGGTTTGAAACGATCATTTAAACATATGCCGAAGATTTGCCTACAGCAGAATTGTTCGATTACGAGTTGTATATTTGGAAGAGGCACTCGCAGCACAAATTCAGTGTCAACAATTTACCCCAGTGTGTTGCTTCAGCGCTGGAAGTATGCGATGAATCGTATTTTCCCAACATATTTATTTTACTACAAATAGCTGCGACCATTCAAGTGACAAGCTGTAAGTGTGAGCGCAGTTCCTACGTGTTGAGAAGGTTGAATACATATAATGCTGTATATGATGTACCATAAAATCTCACTCGAGGCACAGTGAACCACATAAATAAACAATGTAGTGATTCTGATAGAACGATTGACTGTAATTTGAACAAAGTACAATGTGTTTGTAAACATATATACACCACCACATGATTGCCAAATTGCCAGACTAGCCCAATAATGTCTAAATACACAAACAATGGTCAGTTAAAATATAGGCAAATGTGAAAAAAATATATCATCGCAAACTGTAAAATTAGACAGAAACATGCCTCACTAAGTAACATGGAATGAACAATTGCATCACTACTAAATAAAGTACTTCTGATGACTTGAATGAATTGCATCACCGCCACACATAAGTCGTCCTTACCGTAATTTATAGACCAACCATCTATTGGTGGTAGATCAAATGTACTGGCCTTGAAGCAACGTTCTATATGTTTGTTATTTAAATGTTTGCTACCTATATGCTTGTTACTTATATGTTTGTTACAGGTTTCTCAACTCCAATAATGACATAGTCATAGCCTGTCTATAGATGGCTCTAGATAGACAAATGCCTAACTGCGGATTTCATGATATTGCAATATAATGGAAGTCGTCTTAAATGAAGTGAAAACGAATGATACACAAACAACATTAATAAATGCTAAATAAAACTCTGAATTTAGGCCACTATACATTTATTTTACTATATTATGCATGAAGGCCAAATGTAGCGAATGGCTACTACGCTACACTTACGCTGGTTAATGATCACGAGTTCAGCTTCAACGACTTTCTATAGAATTTGATGGGATCAATTCCTAGCTTAATGATAAAAGTATTCTCGCTCGCAAATCTACACGACTTTAATTAATGTATAGTAGTGCAAAACTGAACCCCTGTGAGCAACAGTAATGAATGCCCTTTACGTTCACAAAACATCTACAAATAGAAATGATCATGGTTATGTCACATTAACCAAATGGCCATTGCTCACCAAAACAAAAAACGTAGACTCAAAGTTTCTTTTTCGTAATCCTATCAAACAGCATATCTTGGCATTGGGGCAATCTCATTTTCAACAATAACAACATTACAATAAACAACAATAAAGTCAATAGATTGGTCTAATAAAATATTAATCTGATTCATTCATACTTTGGCAACTATATTCAGTTAGTTTACCAGTAAACATTTGACAACCAAAAAATCTCCTTTTCAATTGTATTGCTATTAATGATATCGCTGTAATGTCTGACAATGTAAAAGACTCATCCATGTGGATGCATATATATTTAGTGGAGAACTGACTTTAACTATATCACTGGAGGATAGAAACATTTAGAAACACTGAATATAGAAACATTTCAAAGTGAACATTATATCTTGGATTATGAAAATATATATTGGTACCCATGTATTTTCATCTCGGGTCAAAAGTCTAGAGCATTCAGTTGTGTGATGAAATTGAAGTAGGGTTACTTGCATAGTACTAAGATTTATCAAGTAGTGCTGTTATTGCCAATGTGGTGTGTAACAGTCACCGATATTATATGTTTACTAAGTTGAATGATAATTGTGTATTGGCCTTACCTACTTGACTATTATTTACCACTGGAAACTTTACACTGGAAACAACGGATGTTTACGATCTACTGACTTGCCTACATGAGACAGCTGCTAACAAGACCACATTCTGATTGTCTCATGTGGAAGCCAGGTGGTAACCCTGAACATGTATGTCTATAGAGGTCTTTCACTGACGTCATTGTTCCCTTGACAATGAGACGCGCCGCCATCTTGGAGGCCTTCATTCGTATTGTTGTTATTGCGTAACACAAGGTCGATCGTCTTCTCAAAAATGGTTTTGAAATGTGTAGTTTTTGAATGTACAAATCGAAAAGATCGGGACAAACATTTGCAATTTTATCGATTACCAGCAGTAGTGGTAAATCAAGGCGAAGATTGCGAAAATCTGAGTAGTGAAAGGCGACGAGAATGGCTGGCTAGCCTCGGACAGAAATTTGAAAACCGAAACATGGGTAACATCAGAATATGCTCGGCACATTTCATTGGTGGTAGGTTTCTCGCTGTTTACAATTTCAATTTTATTTATCACCAGGCATTGAAATTTGATAAAACCCAGTGGAATTGGTGGTAGAGAAAATCGATAATATGATAATCAAGTGTATTTTATTGTGTCTCCCGCAGGTGAAAAGGCCCGGCTCTATGACAAAGGTAACCCAAACTGGGTGCCAACAGTCAATGTCGGGCACGGGGAGAATGTTCTGAAGCAAACAATGGCAGTAAACAGGTACAATAGGCTCCACAATAGACAGAAAAGAAAGCAGAGGAAAAGATCGTCATTGTGGAAGAGGGTTGGCGTTGGAAAACAGGAAACGCTACAAGTACAACTGAGTTTGGCACTCAACAGACCTAACTACCTCTATGTTAAATCATGGAGAATGAAC